TTAAAAGGGCCCAAGCTGAAATGAGGTATTCATGAGTTATCAAACAAAATGTTTGAATTGTCCCAAATCAGGTTTGTTTTGGTTTTTAATTCACATCTCTTGAGTATTTGTAAGAATTGCCATAATTTGGTAAGAATTAAAACAATAATTCTAAGATTAAAAATAAAAATACCACCAAACTGCACAGAGGAGAAACATTTTTCATCCTAGTGTCCACTGATCTGTGTAGGGCTAACTACACTGGGGACATGCCCAACTCCTCCTTGAAATGTAGGATGCAGGGCCAAGGGCAGATGCCTTTGAAGAGGCACAGCCAGCCCTGCAGAGCAAGAAGCATTTGTTTCCAGGGCAGTATCCTCGAGGAGGATATTTATTAATGTGCTGCTCTGAATGATAGAAATAAATTTAAAGCTGAGAATGGAAGGGAAGAGGCTGCAGTATCCTATACTGATCGCCAGCTGTGTTACCATCAATGGGAGTTTCACAAGAGACTGATGGAGCCAGGATTAGACCTTTGATCCGTTTGTTCTTGGTATTGGTGCCTGCTGGCCCTATCAAATCAGACTGATCTAAAAGTTAGAGGGAAACATGGGCAAAGACCTAGCAAGTGGTGTTGAAGCTAGCCACAAATTTAGCACATTTTTATCTTAGCAGCAACCCCAAGACCGGGAAAAGAGGTTTTGCCAGACCACCTTCTCTATAAGCAGCAGCTTCGTGGTTGCATGACTAGGTGGACGATGTGGAAAGTGTTTTCCTAATAATGGGGCAACTAGCAATCGTGCAGAATTTCTCGAAAGATGAAGGATGTCTTAAGCTAATTCTAATTTTCCCTTGAGCTCACAATTCCACTTAAATTTTCAACTGCAGGCACTATCCCAATTGCCTGATAGCCTAATTGTGCCCAGTAGTGTACCCCATTGATCCTTGAGCATGGTCCAGCTCTGTACAGGCCCTAGACTACCCGTTGTGACAGTCCATGCCTTGAGTTTTTCCAGAACCTGCTTGATTTGTGCGATAAAGTGTAAAATACTATTACTGCAATGGTAGGATTTGGTTGGAGTCTCAAAAAAAACATAACAAAAAAGATAACAAAAAGGGCATGGGGTGAGCCCCTTGTTTTCTTGATTTTAGAACAAACTATAGAAAAAGGAAAAACACAATTAACATGAGGGTTTCTTAAGCTAGCCTAGAGGTGAATAATAATTTAATATCTTACTGTAAGATCTTAGATACTTGTGTCCCTGTTCAGTGGATGCTCTATCCCACATTGCCCTCTAGTGAAGATGTGGCAGAGCAAATAATTTCTCCCAACTTGCAGCTGCCGGGATGTGAAATACGGTATTTTAATAACTGAGGACATGGCTTGTTTCAGAAGCGTTAGTTTGCGGTGTGATGCAAATAGTGCGAGGAGAGGCAGCATTCACCTGTCGCAGGTCTGTGTACCTGCACTGGCCTTGGCTTTTGAGTTTCTTGACTTTTGCTTTTTGTTTGAGCTAACTGCCTCTGCAAGCATCTCCCTACTGCTGATGGATCACTAGCCAAAGGTCCTTGCTCTCTTCTGCTTTGGAAAAAGGGGAAAATATTCCCTGGGGTTTTTTTGGTGAAGGATGATCTTTTTCCACGTTCTTTTTCTTACCCTTTGCTCCATGAAACACTTCAGTTCTGTGATTTTGCTTGTTACATGCACGGTCTGACAACCCTGCTTGTGGTTTGGAGATCATCACAGGACAAACTTCTGTCCCTCTTCTACCCAACCCTGGTACATCCAAAGGTGTTGCCTGGGAGGTTAGAACTGGTCCTTGTCCTTCTGCCTGCTTAGCCGTGTGAGCCTGCATCAGTGCCAAATGACAATTTTGGTGTGTTTCTACTTCTCCAGAGCTCTTAAACACTTACAGAAAATCATCAACCAGCAATAGGGGTTTTTTTTTAAAAAAAAAAGGGAAAACAAGTATGACCTGCTCTCCACAGGTCATAATCTGATTCATCCTGTCCTCAAGGTCTTACTTAAACCAGCCCTGCGGTGCCCAGAGCTGCCCTCTCCTGGGTTGTTGATGCCCTCAATCAGCTGTCTGTCAGCCACGCAGTCCTTTTGCTTGCACCCACGGGTCCCATCAGGGCAATGGCACAGCAGTTCAGCAGCCTCCTTGGCTCCTTGGTGCCTGTGGGAACCTGTCACAGCCCGGGATGCTTTGGTGCCTGCAGCGGCCATCCCTCAGGGGGTCATCCCTGTGGATGTGAGCCCCCAGGCAGCTCTGGAGGAGCAGATTTCTCTGGGTGCTGGGTACCAGGGTCTGGGCTGAGGATCTGGGACTGGGAAAGTGGAGGTGCTCAGGTCTGTCTGGGTTTTCCTTCCCCTTAGTCCTTCTGCAGTAGGGAAGTAAGAGCAGAGCAAT